GTCCCGGCCGCGGGTCTCGGAATCTTTCGGCGTCCCGTTCCGCAACTGCAAGGGCGCTCGAAGCTGGAGACCAAGGAAGGGGCGTCAGCGGGGCGCGAGCGACGTGGCCGCGGGTCCCTCGGCGCCTGGGCGCCTCTCTCGGATGGCCGCTCCTGGACTCTTCTCGGAGGCCCTTGGGGAGGGTACAGCCGTCCTGCCCTCGGAGAGCTTCCCGTCTAGCGCGCAGACCGGCCGTTCGCACCGGCGTCCACCGGCACACACGTCCCCTTGACCCCATTCCGCCACACCACTTGACCCTCCCTGCGACATAGCCCCAGCTTCTGCCCCCCAGCCTCGCTTAAGACACAGACGAGTTAGAGACCTCCAACCACCTTGACGCTGGTGAATAAACTTGACCCTTAGGGCCGCACACCAACAAAATAAACGCACACGCGGCAAGTACCCCAAAGGATGAAAATTCCCGAAGTTGGGCCTGGGGGGAAGAAGGGAGGTTTCCCCGAAGGTTTCATCCTCATCAGCATCACCCGTGGGGGCAACAAGGACGACATCTACATCCCCCTTTCCTAAAGGGGAGGCCGGGCCCGCGGGGATCAAAGGTCAACACTCCCCCCAGCTGGAGGGGAGGTGGGGGAGGGGCGAAGGCAGCCCTGGGGGCTTCAGCGACACTTCAAAGGCCGCGAGGCCGGGGACGCTTCCTGCGGGGGAGGGGCAGATGGAGAGGAGAGGGGGAGAGGGGTAGGGGGACTGGGGGTGGAAGAAGCTGCCCCCTTCCAGAGCACGGCCTCTTCCCGCCGGCCCCCCCACCTCCCGCAGACGCTTCCGCCGGGTCCGCCTCCTTTTCACCAGCACCTGTTCAACCGGAACATCAAGGGGCCGGGGCCCGCCGCGCCCCCACCCCACCCCATGCATCTCTTCAGTACCTTTCATCCTGGAAGGGGGCGGGGTGTGATTCCCCCGCTTAGGAGGGGGACGTAGGGAGGGGAAGAACTTGTCCTTGACCTGGCCCCTGGCGTCGGGGATTTACTCCCTTAATCCCCTGGAGAGGCGGGAGATTGGGGAAATCGCAGAAACTGCAGTCTGGGGCGGTAGCCTCTCCCTCCCTGAGATGGGGGCAATCCCGGTGGGCTGCCGGGACGAAGGCGCTGGGGCTAAACGGGCAGGACGCGGCGGGGGCGGGTTGTGGGGGGCGCTGCCTTGCCTGCCTCTTCCGTGCAGGATTAAAGAGGGCAGCGAGGTGCAGGATTGCTGGGGACGAGGGTCTGGATTGTTGCGAGGACTGTCTCGCAGATTTTGTTACAATTGGGTAACTTCGCTCAAACAAAAGTTTAATAACGCCCAGGAGAGAAATACCACTTGGAGTTTCTAATGAAGTACCTTTACTGTCAAGATTAAAACTGCAGAAAGTTAAACTTAAAATGGTCAGCCCTAGCCATGCACCAGCTTCACGAAGTTTGACTATTTGCCTCCAGCTGACCAGGGCTGAGCGGTCTCTGCCGAAGTTTCCGTTTTCACGGGGCGGGGCCGCGGGCGGGTGGGTCGGTCCCTGCGCCTGGGAGGGCGCGCTGTGGGTGCAAGGGTCAAGTGCCTTTTCTTTCGGGTCTTCACCTGATTGGCCCCCCTGCCCAACAAGCTGTGCAAGGAACGGCAGACCAAGTTTGTGTGTTCAGTGTTTTAAGAATAGTGTTTCATTTCGTCTTTCCCACCAACCTTTGGAGTGGGTGTTACTTTTTTTTTAAAGGGTGCTGAAACTGAGGTTACCCATCGGGTGAAGTTAACTAGCGGCAGAGTCAGGATGTGGACCCAATCTACCGGGCCGCGGCTGGGGCGCCGCGGAGCCGGGTGCCTGTCTATCCGCCCATGTGACTTCCCGACGGTGGGGAACCCCAGTGCCGGGCG